TATTATCAGAGATTCTCCTCTTTTTCAGTCTAGAATGGGATATTTTTCTCCCCCAGTGGTATTTGTGAGGTTTTATTATTATTCTAGACCAAAATATCTCACCATTTCAAACATAATAGAACTCGTTGTATAGGTTTATTCACCTGGTAGGAATTTGGGCTAGGCACTACAACAGGGATTATGTTGATGCCTGATTAAATTTAGTCGCTTTTATTATAAGTTCCTTTAATGTAGCACTTTACCTTTGAAAATCTTTTGACTGTTTGGGAAATGCTCAGGAATTTATTAGATTCAGACAGATACAGAAAATTTAGTGGGACCCACTCTTCCTTTCTCTCTTCCTTCCTTCCCTCATTTCTTTAAAAAAAATTGTTTTTAAATGTTTATTTATTTTTGAGACAGAGAGAGACAGAGCATGAATGGGGCAGGGTCAGAGAGAGAAGGAGACACAGAATCCGAAGCAGGCTCCAGGCTGTCAGCACAGAGCCCGACATAGGGCTCGAACTCACAAACTGTGAGATCATGACCTGAGCCGACGTTGAAAGCTCAACCAACTGAACCACCCAGGTGCCCCTTCCTTCCCTCATTTCTGATCCTTTATTCACTTCTGGTTGATTCTCTAATGCTCTACAGTGCTGCATCTTCATTCTTCTTACAAGTTCTTTACCACTTGAAATTACTGACCACTTCTTGCTTTTTGAAACCCTCCCTTTCCTGTGTTCTCTGGTGTATATAGTCCTGACGGTCTTCATTCTCAGTCATTTTTACTGAAATTGTCTTCAATATGGCTAAATATGCCTGACAACTCAGCCCAAGATGCTTATACTCTGCTCACGTTCATGGTCTTTAAGACTTTAACTATTTCAGTTCCTTCTGGAAATCATCATCTCCAGCTATGTATCTGTAAGAATCTCTACCAGGATGTCCACTGCCCCCTCAAATGGAACATGCCTGTGATGGAACTGCTGTTTTACACACTGACTCTCTTTGGGCTGCCCCTTCCATGGTAAGAGGCATCATTATTTCCACAGTTACTCAGGCTCAGTTACACAGTTACTCAGAAGTGGGAAGGCATCTTGGATTCCTCATTCTTTCTGTTCCTTCAAATCCAGCCAGCACACGCTAGTAAGTTCCTCCTTCATAATGTCCGTTATATTTGCCCCTTGCATTCTATCCTATTGCTGTCCCCCAATATGCAGGTCCTCATGGTCCACTGGTAGCCTTGACCACTACAAGCAGCCTTCTAAATAAATATCCTCATTCTCTTCTCTCTGCACTGCAATCTCACATTAATCTTCTAAAAAAAACTTCTCTGTACCTATCAACTACTTGTTCAAAAGCCTTTACAGCTGCTTAATTCCCATAGAATCAAGGAGTCATTCCTTAGCCAGGTCAGAGTGTTTCATACTCCACTTATTTCCAACCTTATTCTCTCCTTTTCTCCAACAAAACCTCCCTTAGCTCACTGCTCTAGTCAACAGCTTTTGAGTATGCTTCAACCTCTTAATTGTTTTCTGATAATCTAAGCCCTACTTTTCTTCAGGGTCAGTTAAAGTCCTAATTCCAGTTCTAACTGATCCTACTCAAAATTGATTTTACCTCTTGTATCTTGTATTATAATTTTTCATTCATTAATTCAACAAAGCTTATTGGCCATTGTTCACGGACCAAACACTGTACTAGATAGGGGGATACAAAGTGGGTAAGAAATAGTTCCTGACCCTGAGGAGTTTAGGGTCTTTTCTAGTTTGACCATTTAGAACATAAAATACTTGAGGGCAGAAACTGTCTTATTCCTCTTTGTATTTCTAGTACTTATCAGTATCTTTTAAAAAATCCATATGTCTTATGTATTATTGCTGTTAACAGTAGTGATAAAAGACAATGAGAGTTTCTTGTTTTAATAATAAGGAAGCAAGTTAGGGACCAGAAAAATTTTCCTTAATATATTTTACATAATTTTACTAGAAATTCAAAGCTACCATCTGTCCTTCTTTCTATTGTGTTTTAGTAAAACTCCTTTAATCATAAAGCTCTATGTGCTTTAAAAATCCTTAAGGCTATTATTATTCAGATTCTTTTCTGGGATTTAAGGATGAAACTAACACTTTTGGATACTTTGCAGAGTTAATTTAACTATTCTATTAAGAAATTCTGTAACATAGTCGTATACACACTCACTCTCATAAATACACATTCACAGAAAACAAAAATTGTACCAAAATCTCACTAGTGCAGTTGGTAGACCTGGCACAAAGCCAGGAGGGATAATAATAGTTAACTTTTATTAAATGGATTATCTTGTATTATCCTCCTTAATCCTCAAAACAACTCCATTATGTAAGTACCATCAGAATCCTTATTTTTCAGATGGGGAAACCAAGATACAGCAACATTTATAAACCTGACATAGTGAGTGAAAGAGCCTAGATTCAGAATCCAGGAACTCTGACTCCAGAGTCTTATGTTCTTCATGACTATGCTATTATGTCTCCCATAGAGATGTAAATAATGTCTCAAAGTCCCCCTGCACCGCCAGCCTCCCCCCCCCCCCCCCCCCAAAGTGTAGGGAAGCAAAGAGAGAAAGAAAGGAAGGGAGGAAGGAAGGAAGGAAGGAAGGAAGGAAGAAAAGAAAGAAAGAAAGGAAGAAAGAAAGAAAGAAGAAAAGAAAGAAACAGAAAAAGAAAGAGAATAAATAAATAAAAGAATGAAAATAAATAAGTTGTTCAGGATCATTAGCCATCCTAGCACAAGGCACTGGAAATTTCAAAGGGTCTCCTTTTGCCCACTGAGACTTTCTCTCTGTCTCATGTCCTCTATTTGGAAAAAACGGAGGAAAACAAGGTAAGAGACAGGCTCATCATGAGCACACACAGCTGTCACCAGACCATTTTATTTCCTGAACGGTTGCTCACAGTGGCTTCTGAGAAATAGGAGGTGTCACTATTCAGTACTTACAGCAATCCCAGGACAGAATTGCCAGTGTTAAATAGAAGACTGGCATGTTTTAACTACCACCACCCCCTCACCCCCACCCCGACTCACTCCTCTGTACACTGGAGTGGCAGGTGGACGTCAGAAACAACAGAATAAAGAAAGGTGGTTTGTGCACTTGGGGTGATACAGAGTCTTGGCTTCTGACGCAAAGGCAAAGACAAAAACAAAACAAAACACAACAAAAAATGTGGAAGAATTGGACAGAAAGGGGCACCAGGAGACTAGGCGCCTCATCCAAATAGGAACCAGATGCAACTTTAAAATATGTGCCTGCTTTCTGTGCTAGCATTTGTAATCTGTGCCCATACTTACACTTCATAGTGTAACACTATTACCTCCTCCAAACACCTAGAGTAGAGGTAGTAATTATACTACTTTCATGGAGAGAAGTGCTTCTGATAACAAAACCAAAATCACTTCTGACAAAAGCTGTAGATGTTTCTGATTCAAGCATGACTGCATGTATGCATATTTGTTTGAGACTGCTAACATTGTTAAAAGGAAATAAATCAGAAAAAAAAATTTCCAGTTACTTTAAGCCTTATGATCCCATGGTGGATTGTGCAGCAAATCTTAAAGTGCGGATCAAAATGGCTCTGGCCTAAAGTTTATGAGTAGACAAGGTTTTAAGGTTAAGGAGAGTGTGTGTTTGTATCCTATGGATTGACAGAAACTAGTCCTAAAAATAATTGACAAGAACAATCAATGCAGAAAACACAGCACCACATCAGAAATATTTTCTCAAATGATGGTTTTTGAAAAAGTATAGAAAAAAATTCACATGATTGGTTAGTTCTCTGATTATCACTATTATCTTAATCCACTTTTAACTTTCATAATTAAAAAGAAAATTAAGAATATTGACATTTTCACCTTTGGTAGCCTTAGCCTTAGATAAAAATAGAAATGTGAATATATTGAAAGTATATGTTAGGATTTTGTGTACGTCCCTGGAAGGGAGTTTGCTTGCTGGCTAGCTTAATTTTTGACAAAGAAAAATGGGCTGCTCTTGCTTCTCGCACAAAGATGCACTGTTCACAGAGGAAACCAAAAAATGGGGAATTTGTGTTTAAGTTGAAAAGAATTTAATACCCAACATGATCATATATTTAGTATAAACTTTCTATTCACTGATAAAATGTGTGGCTTATTAGAATTAAAAGTGTAACTTTGTAATAAGAACTTAAAATACTGATATCTGGAAATTCTAACAGCAAGCAAGACATTCGAAATTTCATTTTCAGTACCCCATAGTTAAAGATATTGCTCTGGTTTTTAAAAACTCAGTTTTATCCATGCAGTTGTACACCCTGAAGTTCCAAAAGAAGTGAGGCAAAGTATTTGTGAGTTTGAGCTGCCTCTGTTCTTTCCACAGGGCTGCCATCTGGGCTTGTTTATTTGTGTTTCCAACTTTCTGGAACAGGGAGTTTCTCTGTTAGGGACAGGGCACCAAGCAAAGGAAATGTCTTACAGAAAGACTATCTTTTTTTTTTTTTTTCTTTTTTACTGTATTTTCAAACTTCAAGTTTAGCTTGGTTAAAAATATCAAATGACTATTACAATCACAAAATTTTACATAGTTGGAAACCTCAGAATTATCTTAGCAAATACTCTTTCACACCATGCAAATCATATTCTCTACAGGCTACCTTCTTGTGACTTTAAGATCTTTTTCAAGACCCAACTGTCATTAAGGCTATAGCTATTAGGTTGAGAAATCAAACATTTTTATCTATCCTTCTACAAATAAGCATTTGATTTAAAAATGAAAAATAATTCCAAGCAGTTTTTCTAATTTTATAAAGTATATATGAGCCATATTATAAAAAAATGAAGCAAACGAAACAAAAACCTTTCAAAATATAATTAAGAAACAAAGCATTATTGTTAGATTTACACAATCTGTGAAGAATAGTTTAAAAATTCACAAGCAACACTTAAAAAAACTGGTGCCTTCTCTTTGAGAGATTTCATTTAACAAATAAAATAGAAGCAAAAATTACCTTGTAAAGTGAAATCCAGCAATACATATTCGTAAGCAAATTCTGTCTTTGTTTCCACTTGCGGTCTCTTCAGGGTAGAAAATATTTTTCCAGGGCTGCTATCATCAGGGTCTTCTAGCTTTCTAAGTCCGCACCCCATGGCAAAATCTGTAAGGAATTAAATTGCAGGATAGGGGAGGGAGAGCAGCAAATTCTGTTGTTTAAGCTGCAAAAAGAAAGTTACAGACTTAACTGCTTTGATTTTTTCAGCTAAACCATAGATAGTCAAAAAGAAAACATTTGAGTCCAAAGAAAGGAGCTGAAGACATTTTCTATCCATTTTTCTGTAAAGTCGTTGAACCCATGATGATTAAGCCACAGCTCTGGGAGGCTGGGCTTGATCTTAGGAGAAACATGCAAGCTGCTACAACTTAGCGGAGAATTTCCATGCCACGTCAATTTACAGCCAGCCCCCTACCAGAGTTCTGTCGCTCAGGGCACCAACAGTGCTTTGTCTGTCCCAGTTGGCTGGATGATAAAGGAGGTGTCCAAAAACGGAAATAAAAAGGCAAAAGTGCAACTCGGATGGAATTATCTACAAGTAGAGGATATATTCAGGCATAGTGGCATGCAATTCTTTTTCTGTTTTCTTTTTTCCCTCTTTGCTGTGCCCACCCCCTCCTTCCTCTCTGCTACTATCAGAAAAGCAAAAGGAGGGAGGAAGGGAGGGAGGAAGGAAAGAATGAGAGAGAGAGAGAAGGAATGAAAAAAAAAAATGGATTCTCAACATGGTTGGAAACAAAAATCATTTCCAGAAAGGAAGTCAGCTTTAGGAGGAAACTGTTTCTGGAGTCTAAAAGGAGAAAAGTAAAGCTTTTTTTTTTTTTTTTTAAACAAACACTTGAGTCTTTAGGTAGCACTGTGGATTTCTTTCCACAGGAAGACTCTTTCCATATGCTAATCATATACTAATTAAAACTGCTAAATATAAAAAAAATTAAGATATTTTAGGGGCGCCTGGGTGGTTCAGACGGTTGAGTGTCCCACTTTGGCTCAGGTCATGATCTCTCCTTCTGTGGGTTCAAGCCCCATGTTGGGCTCTGTGCTGACAGCTCAGAGCCTGGATCCTGCTTTGGATTCTATATCTCCCTCTCTCTCTGCCCCTCCCCTGCTTATGCTCTCTCTCTCTCTCTCTCTCTCTCTCTCTCTTAAAAATAAATAAACATTAAAAAAAGATATTTTAATGATAAGATTTTATTTCTCTTATGTGGATAGTATCCTTAAAGTTTAAAGTACTCCACTATTAGCAGGCTTCTGAGAGGAACTGTTAACACTTTTACAGGTCCCAAAGTATCCTTAATTAAAAAAAAAAAAAAGCAACAAAACTGACAACTTGATTATTCAGTCTTATAAATTGCCATTTACCTGAAGTCAGGAACAATTTATAATGGACCAATTGTAATGAGTGTTCACTGCATATTACCATGTACAGCTCAGGTAGTATGGTGCACTCACCAAAGCTGTGAGCCCTGGAATCAGACCGCTTGGCTTCAAATCCTGCTTCTAATGCCTACTACAGACGTGATCTTGGCAAGTTACTTGATCTCTTCAAGTTTCAATTTCCTCCCCTAACAAAATGCAGTTAATAATAGTGCTTACTTCACAGGCTTGTTATGAAGGTTGAGTGGAATAATCTTATTTCATATCTTAACACTATGCTTGGCTAATAGCACAAAATAAATTTGTTAATGTGCTTCCATTATAAAACAGTGTTGAAAATAGTAATAGCAAGGAAGTGTTTCTGCCACAACTCTCATTATTTACAGAATAAACCTGATCACATATCAGACTTTAGAGAACACAAGCCTGTAAAGGTTTTTTCAATCACGTTGAAGAGTGCATATCAAGACTCTCAAAGGGGGGAATGGATGAGTTTGTAGATCACTATGACCTCTTGTCTCTTCAGTCTGCCTACTTGTCTTTCAATAGTCACTTCTCAGAAGTGATTTTAATAGAGGAAAATTCTACCATTCTTCATTCTCATGGATGAGCATGGTTGGTGGTAGGCAATTTCAATTTGGCTAAGAAGACAGCAGACTCTCACCCAGTTTGACTCATTTCACTAGTCACAGTGCTTTCATGCCTGTCATTTCTCATGTCCTCTTTTGTATGGTGGGCTGTGAGCTATTGGGTGGCAGAAATGGAATATATGAAGTTCACTAGTCCCTGGTGCAGTACCCAGAAGATGGCTTATTAAGTACTCATTAAGTACTCATTCTATTTACTAAATGCCTGCTATATTCCAGGAGCTGGCTAGGTACACAAGATGACTAAACATGGCTTCTCCTAAAGAAACTTATGGTTTAATGGAGAAGATAGACTTATAAACAGATAATTTCAATGTGATTTGGTAGCTGATGAGATAGAAGTATGCATATGATGCTACAGAAACCCAAGAAGGGGACTCTAACTCAGTTTGGAGGATGGTATCTGACCTGTCTTGAAGGATGAATATGCATAAGATAGATAAAGGTGGGGAGCATGTGCCAGGGAAAGGGAAAAGCTTGAGCAATGTCACAAAATCATGAAATAGCATGGCATGAACTTTAAAGAACATGAAGCAGTTGCAAATTACTAGAACATAAAATTTGAAAGAGAACTAAGCTGTAAGAGAGGCAAGAGCTAAGTTGTAATGGATCTTATGTCCCATACAAAGGGAATTTGGACTTTATTTTGTAGGCAACAAAGGAGAATTAAATAATCAAGTAGAAAATCAAAGGAGTAGTTTGAAACAGGCAACTAACATCACTTTGTATTTCTAATGGATCACTATGGCTGTTTTGAGGAAAATGGTTTTAATGGGAGCAAGAATGGAGGGAGACCCAGTCAGGAGAGTATTGCAGTAGTCCAGTTGAGTGCTGACAACTTAGATGAATGAATATGGGACATCATTATGTCCTTAAATACTTTTTAAAATCTTTTAGTAAAAAAAACCTATAGTTCCTTTAGTTCATTATTTGAGCCATCACTATTTTTTTTCTCCAAAAGTTGAACAAAATAAAATTTTATTTGACACATCATTATCACCTAGAGTCCATAGGCTCACTACTGGTATTGTACATTCTATGGGTTTTGACAAATGTATGACATGGACCCACCATTACAGTATAATACAGAATAGTTTCACTGTCCTGAAAATCTGTGCTCCTCCTATTCATCCCATCCTTACTTCTTATTTAACTCTGATGCATCTGGCAATTGTAATATAAAGGGTAAAATATGGATCAAAGTCAGTTTTTCCTACACTGACATTCAACTGTCACAACTACATTTGTTTTCATAGATAATTTTTTTTTTTTTAACCAGTCATGTTTCCCCAGGCTTGTCATATATTGAGTACCTATAGTAATTAGGATAAATATTTGGAACAAATGTTTTCTATCATTGGTCATTTTTTTCTATATGGAATTATATGTTTTCAGTTCTGTATTGCAAATAGGGTTTCTCCAAGTGCAGACTCTTATGTGGCTGTATATGATGAAGATATATTATCAATTCTTGCCTATGTTCTAGAATGGGCTCACTTAGTCCTTGAATTAATGAGTGAACCTTATAAAAATATTCTCCATAACTGATAGCAAATTATTTTCATAGTTACTATGCGAGTTTAGATCACCTAAGCTCACTAAAGTTTTAAAGCTTCTAAGAGATAATTACATATTATCCAGTCCATGCCTTACAAAATCTTTCCATAATAGTAACTTTTAAATCCAATTTATTTTATGTGGCCCTGATCCAAAGAAGCAAATTCAAAAATAATTCAACAAGTTTTTATGGAGCACTGACTACATATTTAGGGCACATGTAGACACAAAGATAAAAATACCAATTTATGTCCTTAGACATCATAAGCTAGCAGGCTAGCATTGAGTTTTAACCTAATGCACTGCTAGTTTCATAATGTAGTCAAATTTCCTAAGTAATTAATGACTTATTGAAAGCACTACTTATTGAAAGAGGTATTTTTAAAAATATTTTTAAATGCTTATTTTTGAGAGAGAGAAAAAAGTGGGGGAGGGGCAGAGAAACAGGGAGAGTGAATCCCAAGGAGAATCCATGTTGTTAGCACAGAGCCTGATGTGGGGCTCGAACTCACAAACTGCGAGATTGTGACCTCAGCTGAGATCAAGAGTCAGATGCCTAACTGACTGAGCCAACCAGGCACCCTAAAAAAAGGCTTTCTTTAATGATTAGAAATGCCATACTCACCACATACTTAATCATTGTATAGACTAAGATTTTTTTACTTTTTATTTTTCTCAATAGTCTGGCTTCTTCATATTACATATTTAAAAATTTTTAATGCCTCTATAATCTTTCACTGTCCAGCAGTTCACAATATTATTATTCTTTAAAAAAATTGTTGACTACTCTTAACTGTTCATTCTTCTAGATTAGAAGTTTTCAAACTATGTGTGGCAGAGCTCCCTGGTTCCGAAGAGGTGTCAGTTTTGGAAGAGAGGGGGCTTTGATCATGAGGAGAGGCCAGGCAGGCAGGGCTCTGGGTCTATCACACCACTCTTCTTCAAACAGAATAGTGTAGATTTTGTCAGTTTCATATACCAGTAACAAACAAACCCCCATAATTTTCAGAAAAGGAAAACAGGTACATTATCAATTAACTATGTTGTTTCTAGGAATAAATCTACTGAATATAAGCCAGACTTGTATATGTAAAACTATGCAACTTTACTGAACAGCGTGAAAGGAGAGGCAAGTAAATGGAGAGATATACATAGACATTTTTAGGAACACTTAATATTGTAATTATCTCTCTAGCTATTCCTTGACACCTGTCATTGAGCTGTAGATTTAATGCAATGGTGACCTTATCCCTAACAGATTTTTCGCATGGAATCTCTCAGGTCGATTTAATTTGATTTGATTTTTTAAAGTTTATTTATTTATTTTGGGGGGGGGTGGGCAGAGAGAGAGGGAGAGAGAGAATCCCAAGCAGGCTCTGCACTGTCAGCATACAGCCTTATGTGGGGCTCAATTTCACAATTTGTAAGACTCTTCACCTGAACCAAAATCAAGACTCAGACACTTAACTGACTGAGCCACCCAGGCATCCTCAAGTTGATTTTAATATATATGTGGAAGACAAAAAGACCAAGAATGTCTAAGATACTTCTGAAAGAGAATAAGGAGATATAAAAACTATATATTAAGACTTATTATAAAGCTATAGTAATTAAATCTGTTTTTTAGCAAGGCATAGACAAATTAACCAATACAACAGAATAAAAAGCCCAGAAACAGAAACCTGCATATGTGGAAATTTAATATATGAGGGAGGTGGCATGGCAGATCAGTGGAGAAAGTGGAGCTGGGACATTTGATTATCTATATGGGGATGAAATTGGATCCCTACCTCATATCGTATATAAAAATTTAAATTTTACATGAAGAATTTGAACATCAAAAGAAAACTTTACATTTTTATATGAAAATATGGATAAATATTTATTCTGACGTAAGAGTACTAAAAACTATTTTTAAAGCAAGAAGATAATCAGAAAATAATCATCATTAATCATAAAATAACAATCATGGGGTGCCTGGGTGGCTCAGTCGGTTGAGTGTCCGACT